TTTGCGATTGCTTCGAAGACAGCCTTGAGAGAAACGAAAATGTAAAACATGTTAACACCCGAATTAACATTTGAAATACTAAATTCGCTTTCGTAAATCTTACCAATCCATCAGTGTGCTTTAAGGCTTACACCTAAAATAGGCTCGAAATGCATAATGATAAAACCAGATTTTTTACCCACTAGACATGCAGTTTCATCACTTTGTTTGATTCACATAGGTAAATCTTACCATCATTGGCTTCTTAAAGTTGATGCTTTGTTTTTTGGCGACCAACTGACACTGGTTTTTGAATGAGTTTTCACTATAAGTGTAAAACAATGAGACCTTTAATAAGTGTGAAGAACCACTTAACAGGCTAATGTAGATCTGTTATTAAACAGAACTTTTCGTAAATCTTGAGATAAAGCAAATAATTTTAATAAACACCATATTGCAATCGATAAAACTAAATCTGTGTAGAGGAATATTCAGTTAAAGCAATTGTTACAGACTTGAAAATTCAGTTGTATTAATTACCTGCATTGTGAAAAAGTCTAGTCGTTAAATTACTGTTTCGAAGTAGGAATGACTAAACATACTATTACCCAGTCAATTTTGATACATTTGACAATGGTACTACGAGATCACACTGTCTCTAGACTTATGACAGATCAAATCTATCTTGACATGTATAACAAAGTGCAAGCAGCTTACTGGAGAATCGCCAAGCGATCAATGGCATCAGATATCGATAAAAAATATGATTACTGGAGTAGTTGAACGCGTCGACAACTTCACTTATCTTGGAAGTCTGATCAGCTCTAATGGATTAGTGTCTGGCGAAATCTTTGCACAGATTCAGAAGGCTTGTTTAGCTTTTGCCAACTTACGTCACCTATGGCGAAGGAGAGATATCTATCTATTAATTAAGGGACGAGTATACTGCACGGCAGTTTGTTCTGTTGTACTTTACGGCTGAGAAACATGGCCATTAACAATAGAAGATACTCGTAAGCTACTAGTAGTTGACCACAGATGGTTTAGAAATATTGCTCGCATCTGCTGGGATCACCGGGTGAGTAATAGTGAGGTTAGACACAGGGTATTAGGGAATGATGGTAAATCAGTTGATGAGGTTGTGAATCTTCATCGACTGAGATGGTTGGGCCACGTTTTGCGTATGCCTGAACACCGATCACCACGACGCGCAATGCTGACTGGTGTTGGGGATAATTGGAAGTTAGGGGCGGCCAAACCGAAACGTGGCAGCAGTGCTTGAAGTCACTGACTTCTAGTGTGAGCTATGTTGGTAGATGCAGACTACTTGGTTGGGGTCCACGTGACTATCGTAACTAATGGTTGGATACTCTGGATGACATGGCTCAGAATCGATCGCAATGTTGTCAGTGTATGCACTTTGTGTCTTCCCTTAAACCATGAGATTAAAATTGCTGTGTATCTTTCTTTGTACGAACTAATTCTTTCTTCCTGTACTATATCCTTAAATGCGATCTTTCTTTTATGTATTACCACCACTGAATTAACTACTATAAATCCGGTGTCCATCTTGTTGTGCTAATGAGGTATGGAAACTTGAACTGATACATATATATTCCTGGTCCTACGTTGTAGCTGACTGACTGAGTGGTCAATCTCCATTCACAATTCCAGGTCGAATTTTAATCAGTCGGTACTTATCGAATTTCGATATGAGGTGACTTGACATTTGCGTAATATGTGAGGTCGATAACCATCATGACATAATCAAGCAAAATTAAAAGTTACAATTAGTTGTATCTATAGCTTGAAGATGACAATCGATGAATGTGAAACGCTTTTACTTACCTTGATGTCTAGTAAATATGTACCTTTCTCATTACTTTCTCTAGGAAGTGTCTTCAAGAAGCAAAAACACACTTGTACACTATTCTTTAATATGATCGCATCAAATGACTAGTCTGATGCGTTTACATCATTTTCGTAAGGAGCACTCAAAATATATTTTGTGAAACTAGTATTTATGTTGTTCATAGTTAACCTGACACATCTATCGAAATGCAACCTTGAATGGTATTTAGTTATTCTTTATTTGATCTAACGTTAAGCCTCAACACTGACAAATATCATTTTACATTTTCTCGCTCTGTACAAAGCTTTTTACTTATAAACTGAACATTTTTAAACAGCAATACTAAAATATTTTTTGGAGTGCTGCTTCACAATCCTCTAGTTTTTGCCTAAGGTGTTTAATTAAATGAGTTTCAGAAGCGTCGTTTAACAAGACTCTTATTTTCTTTTTTTGAGTTAATCGGCTATACATGTAGAAAATAGGTGTTAGATCATTGAAAAATTATCAATAATAATCAGAAGCATTCAAATATTAAATGGAAAAGTTTATAAAAATGAAGCAATATTGCTTGATTTAATAAAACAGATTATTATCCAATTATTGGATATGACAGTCTTTAACTAGGAGGACATTGTTTCAAAGCTGCCGAAATTTTCCTAGTATCTTATAAAATGGATATTTTTTCACTTAGCAAAGTGATAAAAAGTTATCAAGGAATTAAGCTTCGAATAGTTTCAGACGTAATAAGAAATAGTTGTTTATACGATAAATCCAAAAAATAACTCTTTATTCTACGTGAAAGAAAAAAAGGTCGGTGAATAAGGTAATAGTTAGCACTTACGACATACAGAATTAGGAGGGGCCCTAAGACCGTGAAAAATTTAAGAAGTAGAACGTAACTCTTTCGTACACAGGTTAGGTTTAAAGCGGTGAGTTGCTATAGCTTCAGCTGTGCATAAATTCTTTATCCAAACCTTTGAACTACTTCTTTTAAATCTGTAGATAATCTTAAATGTCGATTCTCGTAATTGTACGTGACAAGGGTTAGCTATATGTTCAAGGATTGAGCCGCTGAATGATTAGCATCCCCCTTTAGGTAGCTATACAACATAATGCTCGGATATTCGTTTAATAAGTGCACACTTTGTATGGCCAGTATAAACTCCACAAAAACAAGTAAGCTGAAAAATGCACGTTGAGGTGGCCCAAAGCGGAGGTTTATCTTTTACACTCAACCGAATGAAGTTCTTACTGGAGAGAAGAATTCGGAGCTCCGCCGAATAAAACGTCTCTTAGGGGTCTGGATAGTCGATTCTTTATTATCTCTGCAACCGTATCTTCTTTGTTCAGAAATAATACTTTCTTTAAACCTATGAGATTACTTTGGACTTGGCATATTGATTCCAGGATATTATCAATGAACTTGGTCTTAAACCATCTCCCTGAAGTATTTTTCGAATTTTATTCAGCTCACCATCGATTGCGTCTTCCGTGTATATTCGTTTTGTTCTTAAAGCTAGAGGACAAATTAGATTTCTGTTCCTACTCAACAGCACCCCACTCTGGAAATTTGTATGCTGCTCATTCCAGGTTGGCTTTATGAATATCGATAATCGTAGAGATCCATATGGTTTTCGTCTCAGTAAAACCAAGAAAATAAAGTTCCGAATCCAAACGACGTTTCATTTTGAACGTAATCGGATAGTTATTTATTTATTTATTTTAACACATAAGTATAGGTACAGAGAGGCAACAAGTACATATGCGCCACACGAATCTCAATTGATTTGTGTGAGGGCTGTGATACTGCTCGGGTGCCCAAACCGAAGCAGGTGGTTTTCTTAGGAGGCCACACCCCGAGCCTTTGACCTGAACGTCTGACCCACAAGGCAGTGGAGCATCGTGAGGAGATGCAGTCCCATGGTAGCCGGTGACCAACGATTGGTTCATACGCCATTTGTTCCCGCAGGATACTGGAGCCCATGTGCACCATTGGTTTGGGGTCCGGTTAAAGCGCCAGACATTCGCTTTTCGTCCTCTCATTTTTGTAAACAACACCCCCGCCACGAGAAGGCAGTGAGTAGGACTTCCCTGGCAGAGGCTATATACGCATGGCCATGTGAGAGCATTTCGAGAGGGAGAGCGGACTCTCCCCACTCTCGGCCGTACCAGGGCATTTGGGGGTTATCGGATAGTGCATTTATTGAAATCTTTTAATATTTTACTATGGTCACTTTTTGTCACAAATAATAAATAGATCACCCATACATATTTTATAAAAACAAGATTTATCGATCGTTGTTTGAACGATAGTGTTCTATATCACGAAATCAAAAGACTTGACTTCATGAGTCCAAAAGCCAACGTCAATGTATTGGAAAAGAAAGTGATGTCGTTAGACTTCGCTTATCTGTTCACAATTTTCCCCGTCACAGAATTTATTTTTTATACGATCATACCGACCATAAAAAAGTCAACATCGAAGTTGCAAATACTACCTAAAAGATCTACTACTAGACAAATAGATAGTGTTGCATTAGAATCATTGGGTCCTCTTGTATCAAACTGTTTTTTGGCCAACCTATAGAACATTTTCCTTCGAGCAACAAGCGATAAATTTTATTTTACTAAATGATGCAATATCCATTTCATGTGATACTTGAAAACTTTCAGGAACTAGTTATTTTGAATTAACGCCCCCACCCTTGTTTATAGACTGTTCTTCGATTTGGGTACCCGGGCAGTATCACAGCCCTCACACAAATCAATTGAGATTCGTGTGGCGCATATGTATTTGGTGCCTCCTTGTACCAATACCTATGTGTTAAAATAAATAATAATAAATAAATAGACTGTTCTATCCAACAATTAAAGCATTGATGATCTTTGATCATTTTTATTAACTTTCCCACTTAATGCGTGAATACTTGTGATTATCGTTGGTAAATTTGTTTTCTTTTATTGTTGACTTATACATGTAAAAGATTACCTGTAAATATGATCGTAAAACGCAATAAAACTGATATAGTTGAAAAGAAAGTTCTCTTCGCTAAAACATCTTCATTCTTTTTTATTAGTCAGTGGGTTTTGTTTTTATTCACTATATGTTTATCAAAATATTTTATATTTGACTAACTGCGTAATTACAATTACAGAAGTTATTTTTCAGAATAAAATGACATTCAACCAGTTTAGATGTCTACATACCCGTTGAATATGATGTTGCGACACTTGGTAAGTCTGGTACAAATCTGCGTGTCACTATTTTGTAAGATTCCAATAATAATTTAGCTTAACCCTTAGAATTCTCATTATTTAAAAAACACCTATGTATAAAAATGTTACCGGTGCTCTAATGTCTTGATTACTGATTTTGTCATTTGTTCGATTGACAGCTTGTGTGTGTGTTGATTACTCTTTTGTCTTTACGAAACGAAATGTATTCTCGTTGATCAATAGACGGAAAATAGAACGTATGGTCTAATATAACTGCATCGTTTAGGTAATATCCTTCATTCTACAGTAGTATCTCAAGGTGAATATAAGATGTTAAGCAGAACGGAAGTCATCAACCTATAGATTGATCAAAAGCTAAAGATGTATATAGAAATGCCCTTGTTTTATTGCGTCACTTGACAATGATAACCATTGATGTCAGTTGTCTCGTAAACCTCAACTTATCAACCACCTACATTTCTCTAATATAATTTAAACTGGCTACTAGGATTCCTCCACTTTCCTCATTCAACTACTATTCCGTTCAAAATATTAATTTTCGTTAAGAAATAGCTTTCCCATCAGCGTTGTTCACTTTTCGTTTCCAATTCTCTTGACAGATTTTCTTTCATTATCTAAGACCTGTAACTTTGACAGCATGTAGACAGGGGATCCATCACACCTAAATGAGTGATTTCTCAAAGATATTGTTGAACAAGTATGAATATTTATAATATTTGTATTTGTTTGGCGTTCGACATTCACTTCTTGAACAATCTGCAGTCGCTGACATCAATTCAAAGTAAAATTAAATCGAAATAAACTAAAAAATTGCGGTTTTTATCAATTTCATTTTCATTTATCTATGTCTAACGTAAAATAATTGTTATTAAATCAATTGTGTTTTGTTTTTATTCTCTCGCTAGCTAACTTACGTACGTTCATTTTGCTCAATTCGATATGTAGTTAAATTCTTACCAACCGGTTCGTTGGCTCCGAGATTAAATATTTATAGTCATGTATTATTAAGTAAAAATGCAAAACAATATGATGATTGTGAGTGTTCGTCATCAGATTCCAATGTGGTAAGCTTATTTATTTATTTATTTATTTATTTATTTATTTATTTATTATTATCTGGATTTATTATGTTATTTATTTTCCATGTACAAAATTATGTACACTTCACATTTGGTTAGTATATTCGGTTTTTTATTATTAATGAGCGCAGGTCTGTCCTGTGTTTATTAAATCTAACCTTGCTCATGTTTAACGACCCGCGCAGTTTTATCATTACCATCTTCAAAATATCACTAAAATGACATCCGATGGAAAGACAATGGTAGTAATCTTACATGGCAATCTGTTTGGATGAAATTAGTGTCATCGTCTTGAAACACCAGCCTTGGTGAAATGGGAATGTTTCGTAAATATTATCCCAGTGGCTTTTGAATTAAGAATTAATCACGGACTCTAGGGCAGAATAGGAATAGAGATAGTCAGATCGACATGACACCGTGGTTTGAAAGGAAGTTCTGTAAGACTGATATCTTAGTCTCCCTCAATGTTTTATCACTTTTCACTAATGTTACCCCTCTCGTGGAACCATTTGTCTTATCCGCAAGTACATCGGTAGCGCTATGTTAAACATTAAAATATAATAAATAGATAAATAATTACATGGGCATAGATCATGCTCTAAGTGTGTAGAATATCGATTCCCTATCTAGAAGTATTATCATAGAGAGATGTGTCTGCTCAAAATCGTTTGCAATGGCGCAGGTGCATCCACTCTTTGTGTTCTCCAAAATTATAGTCTTCTGAATTCCTCCCTTTCTTTTTTTCTCTTTCCAAATTTATTTCATTGGATTATACTCCTTGAATAACATTTTCAAACCCTAATGTTTCCGATTACTGCTTATACTCTTACTACCTCTACCACTACGAGATTTGAATCGACAACTGCATCTCTGTTCTAATGTGGTATGGCAACTCGAACTGATGTACGTAAGTACGTACGTACGAAGTTCTACATTGTTAATGCCTGACTGATGTATCTGCAATGTACGTTTTACGTTTTACGATACGATTCGCAGGGATCTCCCCCTATATCTCTTAACACTTAATTAATTTATAAATAAGCGAGAAATCAATTCTTATTCAGTCATTTTCAAGATCAGTATTGTTAACAATAAATTATAAAATAGATCTTAATAAGAATTCTTTTTGATAGAAATTCGATTCTCTAGGTAGTTATTAAAATTTTTGATAATTTCATTATTTAATGATCACAATAAATAATCTTTTTTTTATTATTTATTCTACATATTATTTTATTTTAGTTATATACTTCAAGTTACACAGATCTTATTAACAGTAATGATGATAATTATGACGAACAAAATCGGAATTTACATTTAACTTCTTTACCCTGTCATAATAAAAATCGAGATACTGTTTTAAATTCATTTTCTATTTCTAATTCACGTAAAAATTTTAAAAATTACCAAGAGTCTAACATTCCAGTGTATTATGTTGGTTCATTTTCCAATATATATACTAGTTCACCAAATTCTGGAATAAAATCTTTAAAAAACAATTCTGGTGATAATGATAATCAGAAATTAATTATGAAATCATCAAACAAAATACAGTACAATAATTCTAGGTATCGTCGAAAAAATAAAAGAGGTATGTGAGTTTATCTTTTGTATATTTTTTTGGTAAATTGAATGTAAAATTTTGCGTACTGTAGCAAAAATAAGTTTATGATGGTAGATGGTTAGAGCTGATCGGCAGGATCTTCTAGCTTAGGTTTTGTGCTAGTCGTCACTTATCAGCAAGATGTAAATGGAATCTTAAGGGAGTCTTACTGAGCGGATCTGTTCCTGCAAGATTTTAGGTACACCTTGCTTACGAGGGTCAATCATCATCAAACTTATATCTAGGGTATCCTACAGATTAGTTCCAACCACTTAACATCTCAGTTAGTGAACAAATTGTTCATATACCAGCACTAAAAAGGACTAGAAAAACATGACATTGACCACTACTCAGTGGTCAGTAAGTGCTAGAATAGTTTGGTAGTTATGTCTCATAATACTAAAAAATTAAACAACTCGAGTTTGAATCCCACATTAAGCATCAATTCTCTCAGGATTGTAGGTATGCCTTGCTAACAAGTGTAAAGTAACGCGAAGCGTAGATTGAGCAATGTTTCCTGCCGATTGTCTCCAAATACATTATCAGCATAGTGCAGGTGTCTTTAGGCCACCTAGATTGATGACCACATTGCAACATGGAATTCGACCAGCATTAAAGGATTAGGCAAACATGAGATTGGTCATAGCTCTGTAACTGATCATTCGTAAAGACCTTTTTTGCACACGTACTGTAACATGTCAGTGTTAATTACATTAAAGTGCGACTGCTTTGTCCTTAGTTTATACAATTATCGCGAAATACGATTGTCAACTTAAATACGCTGACTTATACGACCAACTAATGACGCATGCATCAGCACGAGCAGCCTACAGTTCTTATTGGTTCTTTTTCTGCCTAGCACTGTCTGTTAACTTCAGAACACCAATTTCAGCCTTCACTATACGAATCATATATTTCAGACATACTGGGTTTATATACAAACAAACTAGACTGCATCATACCATGAATAGAAATAACAATTATACAGGAGCAAGTCAAAAAGTGGCTATGTTTGTGGGAGACTGTTACTAGGAAACTGGAAATATCTTAAGAATAGTAAGTCATATGATAATAGTCAATAGGTCAAATTAAAGTTTATAATGAACATACATATAATATAGTCACTTAATAGTCACACAATAAGAATACACATATAATATTAGTCCATAGATAGATCCCCTTAGTTACCTTTCATTATTCTCGTCGGGATATAACAGTAATATACATTCACCGTTTTCATAAAATGTTATGTTCATAGTAAGTGTTATCTTCTTAGAATCACTTGTACAACCAGCCTTGGTAATTCATATCACGATCATAAGAATATGAAATATTTGAAGTTGTACTGGATTATGGCATGCATCTGTTAGACAATCTTATCTATTGAACTAATCACGGAAGTATACTTATTAATTTGCTTGTATAACAAAAAAAATTCGGTAAAACAGGTTTTAGATTCACTGACATCAACATATTCGAGGTCAGTTAGAGTCAGAAAACTTTTCGCTTCTTGAAATGCTAGTGTATGAATATATCTAGAAATAATTAATGATTCTAAATAACAATTAGCTTAAATTAAAACTCACATTCAGTAGGGCCAAACTCATCAACACCAGTCAACTCTTAGCATGGGCAAGCACAATGATAACCTGTTCAATATGGTCGGACAGATAAAAATTTGCTTACAATTAACAAATAAAACACAAAAAGAAAATTACACTATGAAAGAAGACTAGTTACTCATTAATAATAGAGTTGTTAGTCGCAAGTCTCACCGAAGAAATGCGCTACACAGCTCAAAATGATAATGCTATAAAAAATAGAAAGAGATCAAGATCTAGTAATCAGTTTTATAAGTCGACGAAAGTGATATTTGATTAAAAAATTCAGTTCATTTGAAATCGAAACAAAATAAATTTCGTTCAGTCAGGAGAAAATCTTTTTATGAAGAATATAAAAGAAAACTAAAGTGGGTTCTCCTGTGTTTTTTTCCGAATCATTTCTGATAACGTCTCATGTCATTGAGTTACATGATTCCTGCGACCCATCCCTTCCAATTAGGTACTCGTAATGAACCAAAAAATCTCAGTTTTATACAAATTTCTCTTTTACACCATGTCACCATATCCATTTCAAGTGACATATGTCCATATTATTCCGTTGTTTAATAAGATTCTCACAATGGGGTTCTGGAGATTGTTGAATTTCGTCAAAATCATGAAACTATCCAAGTTAGACCGTCATTGAAAACCTGAGAGCGCTGGTTGGGCACCCACGTGCAGAGTTGTGGATACACACTACTGTGGAGTCCCATTACTGGAACGAAACAACTGTTCAGTGCTTCCGGGTTTTGAATGGTGGCCTAACATTGATCGGTTCATGATTCAAATGAAGCTTAACAATCTTCACAACCTTATGCCGAAATGCTGTTCATTTATTTTTACAATTGATTTCTTTTATGCTGCATACGATGAAATTTTAAAACAAAAATACTCAAGCACTTTTTCATCTATATAATAGGTGATTGATATCAGTCACTTTTTTCAACAAGTAACTCTTAGATTCTAAGAAAAAAAACATGCACTAGCCCGATTCGGCACTCTATACAATGAAGTTTTGAATTACTAAAATGTTAGTAGTAAGAAAAAACAGTGAATATAGTTATAAAAACGACGCATTTATCAGAAATAAAACCTACGATTTGGTAGAAGATAAACAGTAAATACATTGTGATATTACAACCAATTTCAAGCTGTATCATAGCTAAAGTTTCGAGACGCTATCCACTGTGATTATCATATGGACCTGAAACAGGAATTCAACACCTTGACACGACTCACACCCGACTACTGATCAATGACTTTATGAACACTGATAATACATCTGCTTTTGGCTCGACTTCTTTCAACTTGTTCCTATGTGCAAACAACCATTACTGCACATATTTGAGGAGACAGTTGAATATTTGAATTTGCCAGACTTTTCAATTGTTGTAAGCACGCTTATTTTTATTATTGTTGAGTAGTGACTTACTAATCGTAAACGTTTTTTCTTCATATTGAAAAACATTTTTTGTCAAATAGGAAAGCGCTTTAAAGATTCTACTAAAAATAATGGCAAATTGTATGATGATAATAATAGTACTTCAGACACTACAGACAACTCTGATGAACATTTTCATTCATCATCTAGATCGAATCGTATTTCACAATTGGAAGCTGAACTTTCTCGTTTAAGATCACAAATCGCTCAATTAATTCTAGCTCAAGAATTAGGTAAATCAAGCACATCTGACGTGGATCGAGATCGTTTTCTTCATCGTCCAGATGCAGATGGTGAGAGCGATACTGCCACTACTACTGCTGCCGTCGCTGCCACAGGATCACCTAGCCTGATGCAACATGATAAAACAAAGTTTTACAACAATTTGTCAGAATTTCCTATTCCTTCAGCTAGTTCAACTTCAACATCACTATTACTACCTCCACCACCAATACCCCCTCCACCGCCACCACCACCACCGCCGCTCATGATTTCTTCACCTGGACTACAAGGAGATAGTAGTAATTGGAGAGAACAATTGCAAGCAAGGTTAAGAAGTAAAAAGGTATAGCTGAAAGAAATTTAGTTCTCCCTATCTATGTCATTTTTAATTCACAGCTAGGAACATTTTTCATGATTAATCGTTGGTTGTTTTCGGTTAGACCAAACGACAAGGTTTATTCCTGTATACATCATATTTCGTGGTACAATTTTGAGTAGACTTTGAGCATAAGATTGTCCTTTTTAATATTATAATTATTTCTCATGAGCATTTTGTTAAGATCACAATGTATTTGATGATAGACCTTTTTTCTACCATCTGTTGGAAAAGGTACTCATCATCGTGTGTGTGAGAGAGAGAATATCAAATAATTATTGCATTGAATTGTTTCGTTTCCATACACATGTTCAAACATTTTTAATATTTGACCATTTGTTTTTTTTTTATTACTTATTTATTTAAACACGTGAACATTGGTTCAAAGAGGTACTATATATATATATATATATATATATATATATATATATATATATATATATATATATATATATATATATATATATATATATATATATACATGCGTCACACAAATCACTGAATTTTTGTGGGCTGGGATACTTCTAGGGTTCCCAAACCAAAGTAGGTGGTTTTCCAAGGGGCTCACTCCCAAGAGGTCTGGTTCACAAGGTAGTAGAACAACGTTAGGAGATGCAGTCCCACGATAGCTAGTGACCAAGAATAGGACCATAATCCATTTGTCCCCTCAGGATCTTGGGGCCGATGTACACCATTGGTTCGGAATCAGAGTTTTCCAACTGCTCTAGCTGGTCCTCCGTAACCATCAACCCGTTAGTGAGGGATGCTTGATGAGCAATATTGGTAACGATAATGGTAATAAAATGATTTTTAATCTCAAACACTAGTAAATTAAGGTGCACATATGATATCGGAGGCTAATCGATCTCCGTCCCAGATATCAACAACGAGAAATTACAAACCCTTACTAATACGTTCATACTCGTTGAACAATTTTGTAGCTATCTGGAACTCAGTAAATTAATAAGCAACGCGTAAAGCACTTGAGGTGAAAGATACCGGGTTCGAGTCTCAATGTGAACATTAATACTAAGATATATGTTCATTCAGCGAACCTAATCTCAAGTAAGGCGAAACATGCATCCTGAATTCTACTGCTAACCAAATATTAAACATGACGTAACTTCATTCCTAGTTTGTTTATTAAAATTATTCGTTTTCAGAATAAAAACATGATCAACCGGTACTCTTAAAGTTTCAGTGTAGTTTTCACTGATTCTAATTAGTTAAAGCAAAGTATAAAAAGGGATCAGAATTTTTCTAAAAAAGGTCGTTAGTCATCATTCCACAAAACCCGCTGTCACTGGGAAAACTTCTCGACGAGTCGACATTATACAACTATTAAGATATTTCATTTCTATTAGCTGACAATCAAATTCTCTTTTGTTTAACATTAAGAATTTCTCAGGGAGAAGTAGCTACATATTCTTGGATTTTGACATTTCCGAATCTGTTATCACATTTAATACTGGTAAAAGTCTATTTACATTAATTGATCACTGAGTAGTTGTCATTGTCATGTTTGTTTAGTCTTTAATATTGATAAACCTCTGTTGATTTATAAGTTACTAGTCTAAGTGATCCAACATCTTGTACACTATATTTTAGTTTAACCTGCAGAAGACCCTGTTCGATATAGGTTTTTGTGGTAGTTGGCACTTACCAGCAAAGTGAAACCGCCAATCTCCAGGGAAGTGATTATCCCTAGTGGGTTCGAACACGAGTCTCCACGTTTCAGTCTTACGCGTTTCCACTGAGCTATTTCGACGGTGATCTACCTCCTGGAATACTGAAATATCTACATTTGTTGATCACTGAATATTGGCCTTCTTTTCTAATTGTAGTTGACTATTGATCATGCATATAATTTGTATTTTGGCTGTATAATTGAACATGTAATTATTCTTTCATATTTATTCAACTACTAATGTACTTATTAGTAGTTCAGTGAATGTTATTTGTTTTTATACGAATCGAATTTCTGTTGAACTACTGATGAGTTGTTATCTGGAGAATTTCATTTTTAGTATAATGATGGTGATTAATCGACGTTCAGTAAAGTAAATTATAAATTTAGAGCTGTGGGTTCACACTAATAAGAGGACTATTTGGAATGAATACCAAAGCTATGAACATGAGAAAAACTTTTACTTTCTTATTTATTCTTAATTTAGGAGAAATTGTTCAGTTATAAAATAACTTTGTATATCTTTTTTAGAATAATTCCACGGATAAATCATCTACGCCAATGAAAAGTAATTTGTCAACATCACAAAATCCCGCCGATATGTCACAAGTATTGAAAGAACTACAAAGTGGATCTATTAAACTACGCTCAATACCAAGATCACCTGGTGGTACACCGATAAAACAAAAACAGTCTCCCACAATCAGGTAAGGATGTTTCGTATGTGTGGTGAGAGCGGACTTTCATCGCAGTTCTATAACCATTAATTGTGTTCATTTGTTTTTTTGTTCCAGTGGCTCTGATCCATGTGCAATTATCGCTCGAGCATTACACTCTAAATTTTCACATCTTCGTTCTGTAATGGAAAATTCTATTAGTGATGAAGAAAGAAACTGTCAGTCGAATATTCATCTTGACTCTGGTTTAGGACCTGGATGTGAAGATATTTGGTCACCCAAACGTAAACCCAACAGTTCTCATTCATTGGTATGTCATTTCTTTTGTCATACTGATTCTGTCCAAGGGATACTGAACGTACATCACAGAGCTAATATATATATATATATATATATTGGAAATTTTAAAGCCTAACGTTCAAAGTAATACAATATGATTATTAAAAGACGATACTAATGACCTGAGGCCGACGAAGATACCACAAAGTAGACGTCACTTCAGAGCCGACATACCATTTTATTTCTTAATATACAGACGGCTATTCCGCCAGTGCTTCTTTTGGAGACATTTTGAAAGAAAAATGATAGTATCCCGCAATCTAACTACTAAGCGGTTAACTGTGTTAATCCGTACACTGTCATCCAGCATCATCAACATGATCCCGGTTGTAAAGGTTCTTCTGAGTAGATTGTCTAGGCTACGATAATGCACCTTCGTCAAGGCGACATGGCTCAGAATTGATCACAATGGCGTAGGTGTATACCCTGGTACGGCCGAGAGTGGGGAGAATCCGCTCTCACATGGCCACGCGTTTATAGCCTCTACCAGAGAAGTCCTTATCACTGCATTCTCGTGGCGGGGGTGTTGTTTACGAAAATGAGAGGACGAAAAGCGAATGTCCGGCGCTTTAACCGGATCCCAAACCAATAGTGCACATGGGCTCCAGTATCCTGCGAGAACAAATGGCGTATGAACCAATTGTTGGTCACCAACCACCATGGGACTGCATCTCCTCACGATGCTCCACTGCCTTGTGGATCAGATCTCCAGGTCGAAGGCTCGGGGCGTGGCCCCCTAAGGAAACCACCTGCTTCGATTTGGGCACCCAGTCAGTATCACAGCTCTCACACGTATCAAACGAGATCTGCGTGGCGCATACGTATTTGGCGCCTCCTTGTACCAATATGTGTTAAAATAAACAAATGGTGTGCCTCCTTCCCTTAAACCGTGAGATTAAAATTGATTTATATCTTTCTTTCTACGTACTAAATCTTTCTTCCTGTACTACATTCTTATATGCAATCTGTCCTCTATATATTACCACCACTGAATTAACTACTTCTGTGAATTCGGTGTTCATCTTGCTACTGAGGTATGGAAACTCGGATCGATGCATATATGTGCCTGGTCCTACGTTGTAGCTGACTGACCTTCGCCAAGGTCACCTATAGAATATTACTCGTAGTGACGTTGGGACAATCGGGAAATATCATTGTCTACATCGTCTTTTTCATATCAGCTAATGTATTAATTACTCAAATGATTGTATGCGACTCAATACTTAACAAAGATATCACGTAGTTGATAGCCAGTTATGTTAACCTTCCCATCAATCAGTTCGCAACATACTGAAGTAAAGTTTGGATATCTTGCACGGTTTTACTAGTAATATATATAATTCTAATTTAACCATGGTCCTACGTGCTACTTTCACTAACCAGTTTTTCACAGTAGGTAAAGGTTGAGCCATCTGTAGGTGTTTAAAGTGAGGATAATCCAACAAATAAATCTCATATGCCTCTTATATTCGGTTTAATATGTATGCAATACTAATATTTCAATTCGTCCTTTTTCAGATTTTTGGCCAGCACATTCTCCGCCCAGTCAATCGACGTACAGACAAAACCAATTAAAACATTCAACTTATTCCTACGATGTACTAATTGAATGTTACAACTTTCACATCAATTATTATTTTACAGATCCTAATTATATACCCTATCATACCTTGCCTACTCTTTCGGAAAAACTATGAGCATTAAAATAAATTGCTCTGCTTCATATGTTTTGACTTGTTAGTAATGCATTCAAACATTTTTGTATAGAAAGTTCACATCGGTGATGTTTATTGCTGGGACACCAAGGCATCTAGCATATTTTTTTCTTTGTCCTTTAGAATTAAATGTACTGAATGCGTTATACTTGCAAAGAATATTAGTAGCATGACTGGTAAGGTTTGACCATGAATTGAGTTGAGGCAATACCAAAGCTAGCGAATATCGTATATTTTGTGTTGAGGTTTCCATGATAAGGTATTGAATACAAAAAGTAGCACGATTACCACTATTACATAACAGCAACCACTGTTTTCATGACAACATTGGTGGTGGATTGCACGAAATAACATATGATTCATCTTTGTCTTCGTACTAACCAGCCAAGAAAGTATAGGAAATCACGTTTATGATATCACTCTACGTTTATTAATTGGGGTTTAAGGAATACAGAATATTTTTTCAAAGGAATGGGATGTGGGAGCGAGTCGGTATTTCTGAACATTTTATTCCATGCTGTTGTCGTTAATCGACCGGCGAGATCGCACAGATTCGACTTTCTCTATCTGTAAAAAAATATAAATCTGCTTAGTAAGGCAGAAAGTACGAAGTCAACTTAATAGTTATTAAGAGGAATATGTAACAAGAATAACAAACAGTTCGAGTACTTAAGTGTTAAAAATATCATAAGTACTACCTCTAGGAACAAGAACATTTTAGGAGTGAAAAACAAGTTTCTACACAAAATATGTAAATAAGAGTATGCGTACTTCACATGAAGCAGTTATTAAATGCACTTTAAATGCTTTAAACAACAACCGAAATTTGTATCTAATCTGCACATAACGAATCCAAGTGAAGTGAATAGTTACGTTGGTTTTAGCTACTTAGGAAAAAGCAGGATCTTCACGAAAATAGGTCCATTTGGTTTGATTAATAAGCAGTATTTTTGAGGACAGAATTCGTCAAAGGTTAAATGTAGGGAACAATAAAACAACTGTCCTAAACCACACACCTTGCCCTTTGTGTTATCTCCTGAAGAGGCTACGAGTCTAACCAGGACTCCGAAACCGTCTTCATGTGACTTGGTTTATTGCGAAGAGCGTACAAGGCTCGACATTAATGACGACATCTACCCTATGAACTGACAACTAAGTACTGCCTCGTAAATAGTGTGCGTTTTCTCACTTAGGAAGTTTCTTTTCGCCTTTCTGAATGTGAACTCCGCCTTGAGTCCCCTTCGGCGGGCTACTGCCGGTCCCAAGCCCGGATAAAGGAGGGTTGGGCATGGGGTTAGAGACCCCATCCCGTAGAAAACTAACTCGCTAAAAAACGCTAACCAGAGAAAATTATTCAAACCATTTTAACTCTGCCCTGGGAGTCAGGAGGTCTTCGTTTAGAAGAATTATGACGCCTCATGATGAAAGCCGAGTTTCCTCGGAAGTCACGACGCCGATGCCCCTTCTGACAACCCGAGCAACCATTTATTTAGGTACATGGAATGCTCGTACAATGTGGGAAACTGGGAGAGTTTTCCAAATTGCTGCAGAAATGAGGAGATACAATTTAGAGGTGCTTGGGATCAGTGAAACACATTGGACGCAAGTTGGACAACAACGACTAGCTTCAGGGGAGCTGCTATTATACTCCGGACATGAACAAGAAAATGCTCCACATACACAAGGAGTTGCATTGATGCTGTCCAAACAAGCACAAAATGCACTTATAGGATGGGAATCTCATGGACCAAGGATCATCAAAGCCTCCTTCAAAACAAAGAAAGAGGGCATTACAATGAACGTCATCCAATGCTATGCGCCTACCAACGACTACAATGAAGACGCTAAAGATCAATTCTACGATAGGCTGCAGTCAATCGTCGAGAAGTGCTCAACAAAAGACCTGACTATTCTGATGGGAGACCTAAATGCCAAGGTTGGAATTGACAACACCGGATATGAAGAGATCATGGGACGACACGGACTGGGAGAAAGGAACGAAAATGGTGAGAGATTTGCAAATCTATGCGCCTTCAATAAACTGGTCATAGGCGGAACTATATTCCCACATAAACGCATACACAAAACCACATGGACTTCACCGGATCACAGCACACAGAACCAAATCGACCATATCTGCATCAACAAAAATTTCAGGGGGACGTGAGAACCAAGAGAGGAGCTGATATAGCATCAGATCATCACTTGCTAGTCGCCAAGATGAAATTGAAACTCAAGAGGCACTGGAAAACGGGGCGGACACTATCACAAAAGTTTAATACAGCTCTTCTTCGGGATAATGACAAACTCAACAAATTCAAGATAACTCTTAGCAATAAGCTCCAGGCCTTTCATGATCTACTCAATGGAGAAGGAACTACTATGGAGAGCAACTGGAAAGAGATAAAAGAGGCAATCACTTCAACATGTCATGAGGCTCTGGGCCAAAAAAGCACTGGATAAGATTCAAAAAGGAGGAACAAGAAGGCAGCAATAAATACCAATCGAACAAGAGCAGAAAAAGCCAAGGCACAAGCTGAATACACAGAAGTAAACAAGCAAGTGAAGAGGAGCATCAGAACTGACAAACGTAAATATGTGGAAGATTTAGCAATGACAGCGGAAAAGGCTGGCAGAGAAGGAAACATGAGAGAACTGTATGACACAACAAAGAAACTCTCTGGAAATTACCGTAAACCAGAACGACCAGTGAAAAGCAAGGAAGACAAGATAATCACCAACATTGAAGAACAACGAAAAAGGTGGGTAGAACACTTCAAAGAACTCTTGAATCGACCAGCTCCACTGAACCCACCCAACATCGAAGCAGCACTCACGGACCTCCCAATCGATGTTGGCCCACCAACAATTGAAGAAATCAGTATGGCTATCAGACAAATCAAGAGTGGTAAAGCAGCAGGACCAGACAACATTCCAGCAGAGGCACTGAAAGCAGACGTAGCGGTAACTGCAAGGATACTCCAAACTCTCTTCAGAAAGATCTGGGATGAGGAACAGGTACCAAAAGACTGGAAAGAAGGACTTCTAGTCAAAATGCCAAAGAAAGGCTATCTCAGCAACCGTGACAACTACAGGGGAATCACTCTTCTTTCAATACCAGGAAAAGTCTTCAACAGGGTATTGTTAAACAGGATGAAGGACTCCGTAGACGCCCAACTTCGAGACCAACAGGCAGGATTCCGTAAGGATAGATCGTGCACAGACCAAATCGCAACTCTACGGATCATTGTGGAACAATTAATTGAATGGAATTCATCACTCTATATCAACTTCATCGACTACGAGAAAGCATTTGATAGCGTGGACAGAACAATCCTATGGAAGCTTCTTCGACACTACGGTGTGCTTTAGAAGATAGTCAATATCATACGGAATTCCTATGATGGATTAAACTGCAAAATCGTGCATGGAGGACAGTTGACAAAGTCGTTCGAAGTAAAGACCGGTGTCAGGCAAGGTTGCTTACTCTCACCCTTTCTCTTTCTCCTAGTGATCGACTGAATCATGAAGACGTCAACATCTGAAGGGAAGCACGGGATACAGTGGACAGCTAGGATGCAATTGGATGATCTGGCTCTTCTATCGCAAACGCAAAAAAAATGCAGAATACGACCAGTGTAGCAGCAGGTCTCAATATACACAGAGGGAAAAGCAAGATTCTCCGATACAACACAACATGCACCAATTCAATCAAAATTGACGGAGATTTGAAAGATGTAAAAGCCTTTACATATTTGGGCAGCATCATCGATGAACACGGTGGATCTGATGCAGATGTGAAAGCGCGGATCGGAAAAGCAAGAGCAGCATATTTACAACTGAACAACATCTGGAACTCAAAACACTTGACAACCAACACCAAGGTCAGAATTTTCAATACAAATGTGAAGACAGTTCTACTGTATGGGACCGAAACCTGGAAAACTACGAAAGCCATCATCCAGAAGATACAAGTGTTTATTAACAGTTGTCTACGCAAAATACTTTGGATCCGTTGGCCGGACACTATTAGCAACAATTTACTGTGTGAGAGAACAAACCAGATCCCATTGGAGGAAGAAATCAGGAAGCGCCGGAAGTGGATAGGACACACATTGAGGAAAGCACCCAACTGCGTCACAAGACAAGCCCTCACATGGAGTCCTGAAGGCCGAAGGAGGAGAGGAAGACCAAAGAACACATTACGCCGAGAAATGCAGATAGACATGAGTAAAATGAACACGAATTGGATGGAACTAGAAAAGAAGGCCCAGGACAGAGTGGGTTGGAGAATGTTCCATTGGAAGTAACAGGCGTAAGTAAGTTCCTGAATGTGAAAATCAAGCGAAGTAAAGGCCAGCTAGTAAGAAGCAATATTTATGATAGGAAGGGAATCGCCTTTTACAAATAGATTTGGTCCATGTCGTGAATTGAAGGAGCAATACGTCGCGAAAAATTACCTGGATGTGAGAATTCATGGCGCGGTGGACATTTTATGCCTAAGAAGTAAATAATTACAGTTTACACATACTAAGCTTGGTGTTGGTCAACCGGGTTTGCTGTGGCACCAGTAATCAAAATCGGTGTCATTGGGAAACGTTGGAGCTGATTAAGACGTTATAATCAGGCTTGATTACACCGCTTTATATACGTTGGCATCGTAGTAGGTTTCACTGTCGAAAATAATTACTAATGCGTGTCATCTTAAGATCCCCAGAATTCCAGGGTTTAACCCATAAAAATGAAAAGGCTATGAGGAACATATAAATACATCACCATGGATCTACCTCCAGCTGGCACTGATGAACTATATTTTGTAGGTGAGAACGTCTGTTGTTTTCCTTATTGGACATATCGTCGTTGATTTGACGAAGCAAGATACTTTGTGAGGAAGCACGGGCATCCGCAAGTTGTTTTGCTTTCTCAACCTACAAGAAAACTTATAACGAATCTTTTTTACTTCTTTCTTGTTGCTATTAACTATCTTTTCGATAATTTGTTGCCGCCTAGAAGACTTCTGTGCTAAATCCTCCGTGAGGTTCTCCATTAATACATTTGACCGATTTACGAGCTTCTCTTTTTCTTGTTCACATTTGGACTTAGCTAGATGAATATGTTGCTCATTTCGATTTATAGTTTCCTGAAAGATTATATATCCCTATTCTTCAACTCACAGCTAGAACGTTAGATCGTCTTTCCCGAGCTTTCTCTAGCCTTTCATTTAGGTCAGAATCATTCCGAACATAATTCGGAGATGAAAGCAGACGTAAAGTCCTAGGAGACTGGGCCTCGTCTCGTATTGGTACTTCAAACGATACACTACAACTCAAATCGTTTGTTTCCATCGGTAAAATACAATTTTGATTCCAGCAGACTAGTTTTAAGCGCGGTAATATTTACTGTGTCAAACAACAAATTCACCTTGAGATTTGTAATTTTGAGATTTCTGTTTTTCTTTAAATATACCACTGTCCTGACCATCTAATATCTTCAAATAAGTACATTGCTAAGCTGACAGCCACATTTACGAAATCGAGTTGCGTTTAATAGCAGCCTATTCCACAATTATTATGTTCAGCAGAAACAAGGTGGCCTAGAACATAGAAATTTTTATTCTCTCTTCAGATATATAAGAGATAATCTGATTTTGATTTGAGGAAATAAACTTGGGCCTGATATATCCTTTTTTCTAAACCAATAGATTAAGACAGAAGAAGTGTCAAAAGCTGAGAAGGAACAAAATCCTCGTGGTATACAAGTTTTCCCAAAAAACTTATTACTCGGAGAAGGAGGATCCCTACATGCAATTAAATTATTCAAAGAAAGACCACAGTCTAACATGAGATGGATTGAAAGGAGTTAACAAAGGCCTTCAATTTTCTATTTTCAGCGTACAAATCTACAAACAAATGTATATAATCACTTAATCCTCTTCCTAAAACTTACTATCCCTAGATTTCATGTCATTTGTTTTTTCTCCTTACTTGGTCGTGGACAAAACTGATGAGGTTTTTGACTATTAGCCACAATGTAGATTGTTGTATCATGTTCATTTCTAGCCGAGATAATGAGTCTACCGACTGAGTGTCCTAGCCTATGATATGATGTTTATCGGTTTTACCTTTTAATGCATTGGCTAGTGGTTTATGATCCATATAAACTACGAATTGCCTGCCTTCAAATATTTGTTAGAATGCGAGTATCTCATCCCCGCTCTAGTGAATCGTTTTGAGAAGAACGTGATCGGTTTGCAGGAGTTTTCATTCAGTTAGTTAATAATACTGTCTACTACTTTGTCCGAAACATCCACCATCAAAATGAGAGTGTGTAGCGGTAAATAAATCCCCAAAATAAATAGCTCTGTAAGTTTTCGACATTGGATGCTGACCACAGTTTTAATGGACTTATCTAGCTGAAGGCGCTCGGTCATTCATCCGCACCAGATCACGTGTGGGAACGCCGTGCTCAACATCTACCACATTCGCTGGCCAGAATTATTCAGACGGTCCTCGATATATTGATAGCTTATCAAATATATCTTCGAACCTCCTCGCGAACTCAACAGGTACGTAACACTTAGTATGTTTACTAGTGATGTTTCTGACCCATACGAAATTCTTAAAAGATCCATCCTTAAACGCGAAGACCTAACCGATTGACATAGGTTAGACCAACTCCTTAACAATATCGACCTGCAACACGGTTCTGCAACAGACATGTTGCGAAGAATGAGAGAAGTTATTGGCCAAAGAACTTTCGATGATGGCCTGTTCAAACAACTTTTCTTATCCAAACTTCCTCAACACGTGCAAGCTGTGCTGGTCTCGTTCCAAAACAATGCCGTAGACGAGTTGGCTGCATCTGCCGACCGCATCCTCGAAATCACTAAATCTTCTAACGCCGAGGTTTCTTCAGTCAATGAAAAGCCTCAAATGACCCAGAATGACATAACACAGTTATGTCATACGCTTACGCGTTATCTCAAACTTCTTAACGACCGTAAACGGTCACACACCCCGCGAAGAATCACTTCACGTAGGCGATATGTCTCTAGACCTCGAGATACGGATAATCCTCACTGGTGCTGGTATCATAACCAATATGGAAAGTCCTCCAGAAATTGCAGAAAACCCTGCAATTTTCCCAACGCAAAATTGGTCGACGCGAAGAATGTTTCGGGAAACTTCCAAGCAGGCAAGCGTTAACGGCAACCGTAGCCGGCGAACATAGCCGTCTTTTATATGTCACTGATGTGATAACGAGAGTTCGCTACCTCGTCGATACTGGCGCAGAAGTTAGCGTTCTCCCAGTAAATTCCAACGACCGGCTTCACGAGTTGGTTTTAAATCTACAGGCGGCAAATGGAAAGCTTATCGCTACGTATGGCAAAAGGTACGTGGGTTTACGCAAACCCATTCACTGGATCTTTGTTGTTCCATATGTTTCTATGCCAATCATTGGTATGGACCTTCTACAGCACCACAACTTAATCATCGATACACGCAAACAGAGGCTAGTAGATGAAAATACTAATTTATCTGTTTGCGTAACTTCTTTTTCTGGTTGCAGGTCATCTCCAGTCACCACTAGGCACACTATAGACCCCTTCTATCAACCACTACTCGATAAGTATTCTGGCATTTACCAATCGCAATCGAAATCGCCTTGTGTAACCAGCAACGTTACACATCACATCACGACTACAGGACCACCTGTATTCTCCAAAGCATGCCGACTGGCCCCGAATAGTTAAGGTTGGCGAAAAGCGAATTTGACCGTATGATAGACTTAGGAATCATACGACCGTCAAATAGCCCATGGGCATCTCCGTTGCACTTGGTCCCTAAAAAGGACAGCAACGATTGGCGTTCAACTGGTGATTATCGGAGATTGAATGCAAAGACCATTCCCGATTGTTACCCGTTGCCTCACATTCACGATTTGACAGCTACCTTGGAAGGTACAACTGTCTTTTCGAAGATCGACTTGGTTAAAGCGTACAACCAAATTCCTATGGCCACTGACGATATTCCGAAAACCGCTATTATAACTCCCTTCGGACTCTTTGAATTTTTGCGAATGCCTTTCGGTCTAAAAAGCGCGGCACAGACTTTCCAAAAGTTCATAGATGACGTTTTTCGAGGTCTCAACTTCGTACATGCATACGTTGATGACTGCTCAATAGCAAGTCCGGACAGAGAATCACATCTCCAGCATCTGGACCTAAAAAACATGGCATTGCTGTAAACATTCAGAAATGCCAAATCAGAACTGACTCCTTAGACTTCCTAGGACACACTATCGATGGGCAAGGTATCTGATCCCTTAGACAAAAGATGGCGGCTATTCTGGGTTACCCAGAACCGACCACCATCAAGCGATTGCGCACGTTTAACGGTCGGGTAAGTTTCTATAGACGGTTCATACCCAAATGCACCTTAATTATGAAACCACTTACCGACTAACTTCGTGGAAATGTGAAATCCATCAATATGAATGACACCGCGCGAAAAGCATTCTCCACGGTTAAGGAACATATCGCTCAAGCGATCAGGACCCTGAAGCGCCCATTAGTATCGCAGTAGACGCATTCGACTCAGCAATCGGAGCAGTCTTACAACAATGGGTTAAGCACTCCTGGCAACCTTCGGCATTTTTCTCTAGACGGTTGCTAGACACTGATTCGAGGTACAGCACATTCGGTAGGGAACTCCTAGCTATGTATTGTGCTGTCCGGCATTTTCAACACTATATCGAAGGCCGTGAATTTATCATTTTTACTGACCATAAACCTCTTACCTTCTCCTTAAGCTCATCTTCAGACAAGTACTCACCTCGTGAGTCTCGACAACTGGACTACGTTTCGCAGTTTACTTCAGATATTCGACGCATTTCTGGAGTAAACAATGTAGTTGCAGACGCCTTGTCTCTTATAAATTCCTTGAACAGTTTCCAAGGAATCGACTATTTAAAACTCGCCCAACTTCAAAAAGAAAACAGTGATCTTCAGCACGAGTTGGCCTCAACAACACTTAAACTGCGCATTAAACAGATGTGAACAGGTAAGGAAACCTTACTTTGTGACACATCTACAGGTAGGGATCGCCCAATCGTGCCGAAACAATATCGACGCAACGTCTTCGATACGTTGCACAGACTTTCTCATCCAGGTGTTCGTGCAACCATCAAGCTTATAGCAGAACGGTTTTGCTGGCCTAGTATGAATAAAGACGTGAGGGAGTGGGCACGCTCCTGTGTAAGCTGCCAGAAATGTAAGGTTGTTAGACATTACAAATGTCTCCTAGGCTCGTTTAAATCTCCCGATGCTCGCTTCGACCATGTTCATTTGGATTTGGTAGTACCTTTACCAGATTCAAATGGATATTCTTATCTTTTAACCTGTGCAGACCGTTATACTCGATGACCAGAAGCAGTACCCATCAAAGACATTACTGCTGAAACAGTGGCCCGCACCTTCGTCGAGAGGTGGGTAGCAAACTTTGGCTGCTCAACAACAATCACTACAGATCGTGGACGTCAGTTTGAATCTGAACTTTTCCGTTGTCTAACCGCAAAATTAGGAATCACTCGCTTCCGAACGACGGCCTACCACCCACAAGCAAAAGGGTTGGTAGAACGTTTTCACCGACAACTAAAAGCGTCACTATCAGCCTCAAACATTTCTCAGTGGACTGACGCTCTTCCACTCGTCTTACTAGACATACGCAATGCACTGAATGCTGACATTGGATACACTGCATCTCAACCCGTTTATGGTACGACCCTTCGACTTCCAGGAGAATTCGTGGATCCTTCATCCTGTTCGATGAACATGGATCTAACCTCCTACGCAAACAGGCTTACAAACGCAATGCGTTCAGTTAAACCTGTTTCCACTCGACCACAATCAACTGATGTTTTCGTTCAACCTGACTTACGATATAGTACACACGTCTTCGTACGTCGAGACTCGCATCGAAGACCTCTCGAATCGGCATACGAAAGACCTTTCAAAGTTCTTCAACGCGAAACTTAGTACTATATAATCGATAAGAACGGAACCAACGAAAGCATCAGCATCGATCGCCTCAAAGCAGAGTATTTAGAATGAACTCCTATTCACGTCGATTTTCCTTCAGTACAATCGCACGACACAGCTCCTGCACTTATAATTACTGAATCGACAGCCAACAGACACGTTGACACTTCGGCGGTATCAGAAAATAAACTCAAATCAACGCGTTCTGGGAGAGTGAGATTTTCAGAACATTTGAACGATTATTGCACGTAAGACACTGGTTGACATTTTATATCCTCTCGATTTTCCCTTGTACTATAGATAAATTTTCTTTTTTTTAAAAAGAACCAAAAGAACCGTTCAGATTGTCT